GGATATTTCAACTCGGCACCCAAGCAAGCTCCGCCGCCAAAATTTTGCTGGTGGGTTCCCCGGCCACATGCCACACCAGGATGGCGATGCTAATCCTCACGAAAGTCTGGGCCCTCACGAAAGTCTCTGTCCAAATACTGCAGACAGTTAATTTCTCGGACTTCGAGGACCAGTATATTACACATTTTTAGTTACTGGATTTCCGAGCGATTTTGTTTCAGCACGAAATATTGCAAAAACGCATGACAGCACGGGCTGGTCCGGTGCCTGTCGCCAATAATTTTGTAAGCTGAGTGCCAGACAAACTTGCCACAGTGCTTGCCTTATTTGCCAAGAAAACTTATTTCAAGTAAGACCATGAAGAATTCTCCCCAATCACAGCAAAAAACTCCCATCTACATCAGTGAAAAAAACAATAAGCGCAGGAGAAAGACAATTTTATCGGAGCTCGAGTCAGCGACAGTGTAAAGACAAGTTCTTGCAGAAAAACCATCAGCGATGATGATGACGATGACACTGCCAATACTCAGATGCAGAAAGCGGCAAACATTTGTGGATTTCCGCGGTGCTCTGCTCCGTTCACTCATTCGTACTGGCTGTACAAGCATATGTGCGGCCATCTGTACGAATATCCGTTCATTTGCCATTATAAAGGTTGTGGGAAAAAATTGGACAGCGAGGACAAGCTACTAGAGTGAGTTTTTTCAAAATTTAACTCGTTTACATTCGCGTTTTTTTCCAAATTTCATCGTCAGTGATGGGTGAAAACACTTGGAAATAGCGCGAACGATAGCATGCGCCAACTACACAACCATCCGTCGGCAGAACTGCCAATGAAGATGACAGTCTCTTTCGAAGTTTGCTTAAAGGTAGGTTGTTGGCAGTTTTCGATATCTCGTCTGACCCAATATAAATTTACCGAATGAACAAGTCAAAGAAGATTGTGCGTTTTTGGACAGGAAGAAGATTCTGTTTGTTACTAAACTAGCCAATTGACCATGAGTATGTGAAGAAAGAGGACAGTTCCCTCTTAGTCCCTACATAAGAAGTTTAGACGAAACCATAAAATGTATTTTTTCAACTCAGTGTTTTTTTCAAAATTTTTTCATACAAGAATTTTTGAGTAGAAAATGTTTTGCTAACAGTTTCTAGAGTAAGAAAATATTCGAAAAACCACCGGGTTTTCTTCTCATTCTCACGGAGCCTTATTTGTCAGTGGAGTGCAGTCATCCCTAACATAACTATTCAGATTTTCTTGTCTCAAGTCGTCTGCCTCTACGCTAAGATTCCGGGTCTCTGAAGTCATCCTGCTAACTGCTCATTCTGCTTTCTGAAACATACTTATGAAATTTCAGTCATTTTGAAAAGCACGTTGGCAACGCGTACTTCTGTCGTATCTGCAGACAGGCGTTCAGAACTCCAAGCACTTTGAAAAACCACAACCAACGGCTTCATTCAAGGCAGTTTATACCAAAGGGATAAAACTGTTTGCAGATGAAACGGAATGGATACTCTTTTTTCTTCTTTTCACCGTACACTGAATTTGTTCTTGGAATAATGTGGTACTGAACAAACTGATGCATAAAAAGCTATTTTTGCTCTGATGGCTTGTCAAATTCAGTTCTAACATTTTTACGCGTTTTTGCTGTGTCAATGAGCAAAAACGCATATGTTTGTAGGTGTGTGTATGTGTGTGCGTGTGTGTGTGTGCGTGTGTATGTGCTCGGGAATGAGTGAACTTTATCACTCACTTTCAACTCATCAAACAGGGAGGCTGGGCGGCTGAAATTTTGGGGTCACATCCGCACCCCGTCTGCCACTTCTTTGTTTTAAAATCTTGAATCATACGCGCCTAGATCTCGCGTGCGAACCATCGAAAAAAATACGCAAATTTCATTGGCGGGAAACGATTCGGTGAAGCGGACAGGTTAGAAGACTGAAATTTTACAGGGATATTCTCTCTGGTATGTATGATCTAAAGTTTTTAAATTCAGCTGTTGCACTAGCTTACACCGCGTGTATGGTGACATCAAAGCCCAGTAGATGGTAATGTGTTAATTCGAAAATAACTTCACTGAGATATTCTAATTTCATTTCATGGAAGTCTTAATTCTGCCTGGAGGTGAAATTTCCTGCAGGTGGATATGAGAAATACTCAAATTACTGCAAACTAAGAAGCCAGTGCATTTTGCAAATTTTATAATCCTCTTCCGATTTCCATAAAATTTGCATTTTTTCAAAGAGCGAACATTTACCGGAAAGTGTAAATGGGAATCCTATTCCCATTTCTTTTAAAAGCTTTATTTATTAACTATTAAGGACTTCTTCTAACCCCACCCTCCCCAGGGTTGTAAAAATTCAAATTTTGGGTCAGGGCATCGTAAAATCTGACCTTTATCCCCGCCGCCCGAACATGTTTGACCCCAGCCCTAAATCCTCACCTTCCCTCCAATAAGTTTACTGTCCTTTGTCCCCACCAATTCTTGACCCCAACTTCCCTCATTTCCTCCCTCCACATAATTACAATAACAAATTGGATCCGTCCTTTAAAAAGTAGG